GAAATCACCAATTCATGTCTCTATATATTCAAAAACAAATTATCAATGCTTGTGGTTTAGAAGTGAGAAGTTTTATTTTGGCAGAGATTGAGGATAAATGGTTTTTTCTTTTGATTGATGAGGCTCGAGATAGTTCTATCAAGGAACAAATTTCTTTAAATGTAAGGTTTGTGACTGATCTTGGAGAGGTTAAAGAAAGATTTTTTGGTGCTGTACATGTTACTGACACTTTTGCACAATCTTTGAAAAATTTTATTGATGAATTTCTTGCAAGAAATGGATTATCACTATCAATGGTTAAAGATCAAGGTTATGATGGGGTTTCTAATATGCGTTGAGAGTTTAACGGGCTTAAAGCCCTCATTTTGAAAGAAAATGAAAATTCATATTATGTTCATTGTTTTGCGCATCAACTTCAATTAGTTATTGTTTCCAGTGTCAGTCAGAATGGGCTCGTAAGCAATTTTTTTAAATCTCTCTCTATGATTGTAAATATTGTTGGAGCTTCGTGTAAAAGGAGAGATGAATTGAGACAACGACAATTTGATGATCTTGAAAGACATGTAGAATTAGGTGATATTGCTACAAGAAAGGGAATGAATCAAGAAATGAGTTTGGCTCGAGCCGGTGATACTCGTTGGGGTTTTCATTTCAAAACAATCACTTGAATTTTTAATTTGTGGAATCCAATGAAATAAGTTATTGAAATTATAGCTACAGATGGCACTGATGTGAAAAGTCAAGGACTCGTTGTGGGGTTGCTTGACAAGATGGAAAGTTTTGAATTTGTGTTTGTAGATCAATTGATGAGGCATCTATTAGGTAAAACAAATGCACTGTCACAAGCTCTTCAACAAAAGAATCAGAATATAGGTCTTGTTGTGCAATTGATTGCAATTTTGAAAGATTAATTGCAAGGCTTTAGAACAAGTGGTTGGGATGACTTTTTTGAAGAAGTAACTAAGTTTTGTTCAGATCATGGAATCAGTGTTCCCAATATGAATGATATCATCCCCGGACGATTAAGAATACTTGTTGATGCCCAAAGAAAAACACATCTTTATTATTTTCGAGTGGATATTTTTATACAGGTATAATTATTCTTTTTAATTTATTATGAAAATTATTAGAGTATTAGTTATGTGAAATATTAATTTTTCTTTTTATAACGTTAGGTGATCGATATTATTTCTCAAGAAATAAACCATTGGTTTACTAAATCAAACTCGGAGATTTTGATGGGAATAGCATGTTTTAATCCTAACAATTTGTTTGATGTTTTTGATCAAGAACGGATTATTCATCTCGCTGAGTTATATTCGAAGAATTTTTCTATGCACGATCTATCAGATTTAAAACCGCAGCTTCAAATATTCATTCGTTATATGAGATCAGAACAATTATTGGCCTTTGTGATATTGGAGATCTTGCACATAAGATGATTCAAATGAATTGTAAGAGTACTTTTTATTTGATTTATCGACTAATCGAGTTAGCATTGGTTTTACCTGTTACGACAACCACAGTTGAAAGATCTTTTTCGGCAGTGAAAATTGTCAAAAATGATTTGCGAAACACTATGGGAAATGAATATCTTACCGATTTTCTAGTGTGTTACATTTCGAAAGACATTTTTGTCACTATAGAAACTAAAGCAATTTTGCAACGGTTTCAAAATATGGCTACACAAAGAATACAACTATCGCGACATCACTAAGGTAAATAATAATAATAAAAAATATATTTTATAGTTTATTTTTGTTTAGTTAACTAAAAAAAATTTTGTTTTGTTCAAGGGCAACAACTGGATTCGGATTTCACTTTGGACGAAGTTGGAATCTTATTGGTCGGATTTTTTTTTTTTTTCTGTCTTCATAGTGACAATATTGTTTATGCATATTTGGTTAAAGGTAATTTATTCTGTTAGTAGAGTAGTTTGTTCGGTATTTAAATTTTATACTATAATTTTTTAATTTTAATCTCCAGCCCTTCCAACCGAATAATTCTGGTTCCGCCACTGCATAAATACTCATTACCAATTTTAGATTAAAAATAAATAAGTTGGAATTTTAATTGTTGAAAAAAAAACATAAAACCTGCGCAATTACATTTATATTATGGATTTTTTTTTGAACAAAAAAAAAACGGTTTTGCACTAAAAAACAATAAAAATCTCTGCACAATGTAAATAAAATGGAAAAAAATAAAATTGAAAAGATTTTATAATCTTGAATCAACGATTTGTAGTTGTTACCCGAAAGATCGTGCAGTTGTATTGTGCGCGAAGAGTAGAAAACGATTGTGTTGATAGTTGTACACAAACTGCAGAAGAAGGGGTGAAGCCGCGCTGGGAGGTGCGATGAAAAATCGTAGAAACAAGATGAAGCCGCCGCTGATGGGCTGAAAAATCGCAAGAGGGTGAACTGGTGAAGTACCACCGACGTCAGCGAGGTAGATGAAGAAATTAGGGGGTTGTGAAATCGCGTTTGAGATTCGGAAGATGGGGTTTGGCAGTTTGCACTGGGTCTAAACCGGGTCTGCACTGGCGGATTGGCGATAATGTATATTATTAACAATAATTAATATAAATAAATTATAAATATATAATATAACATAATTAATTTATTAACCGAACCGAAAAAAAGGTTAGAAACCGAAACCAAACTGAACCGAACAAATACCAAATATGCAATATTTGTATTCGAACCAAATTTGCTCGATTAACCGAAAATTCGATTTGGTTCAGTTCAATGGTTCGGCGGTTCAGTTCAAATATTTTTCCCACCCCTAACAAAAATATCAAAACTTCTTACACACTTCCACTAATTAATAAAATATGATTATTTTTTAATATACTATAAAACTATAGAGGGCCACTGTAGAGCGGGGCGGATGGAGGATTTAGCTACTTTACAACTTCTAAATCCTGAATTTAAATTAAATTTGTAATTTAAGTTGATTATATTATAATTTTAAAAAATCACCGAACAAAATTTAATATTGATTTATGCATTTTCATTTTTGTAGGTGAATACCATGAAATTTCTTTATAAAAAATTTTTTATAAAAATGTTTCAAAAAATTAGGGAAAATTGCAATAAATATCTCGCACCTATACCCCATTATCACTTTTATCCTTAATCTATCACCCTGACAAAATATATTTCGCACATTTACAAAAGTCACCATTTACGTCATTCCGTCGTGCATGACAGTCACATGACATGCAATTCCACGTGCACCCGGGACCCAGTAACACGTGGCACTTTGTAAGTGGCCTGTGTTTGAAATTTTAATAAATATCTAATTATTTAAATTTTATAAAATACAAATTGCTGATTGATCCTTGGATATTTGCAATTTAACCCCAAAGGATTAAATTAAAAATCTTATATATACAATATCAATCTCATTCATCGTCTTCGTCTTCGTCTTCGTCTTCAGCGTAATCAAATTTTTTTCAATTTTTTTTTGTGTTCCACCTCAATTCCTCCAAGCCGACTGACATCGCCGTCATCCTCAATTTCCGTCGCGGGCATATCAAGGGAAAATACGCCGATGTCTCAAACCACCGCCGATTTATCCGATGTTACTAGATCTGTCGAATGTCATTGCGGGGTGAAGGCAAAATTGAGGTGTTCTTGGACCAATGATAACCCAAGTCGTCGATTCCACTCTTATAGATATTATAAGGTAATTAAAAATTTGTGTTTAATTAACCATATATGAACATTCGTAGATGATAATTTAATTTTTTTTTTTTAAATTCAGAATGGTGGAGGGGGATGTGGTTACTTCCAGTGAGAAGACCCTCCAATTTGTCGAGGAGTAAGGTTGTTATTCCTGGGCTATTGAAGAAATTAGATGCAAAAGAGAAAGAGATTGTGCTTCTCAGAAATAAAAATAACAGAGGGCTCTGTGTTGCATATTCAATTAGTATTGTTGTTGTTGGAATGATATTCATCGTCTACCTACTGCGTAACAATGGTGCAAAAGGTTGCCCAGGCGTTTTGATGATCGAGTAATATGCTTTGTTGATGGATTGATTTATATTACAGTTGATGGATGGTAGAACGAAGATAATGTATGTGTATGGAATCCCAAGAGCTGTTAATGTTCGGAGCATGTGGAATTCTATTTTATTTTGTTGTATGTTGTGAACATATCTTTATGCGGAAGTGTAAGTCTATTTTATTTTGTTGTATGTTGTGAACATATATTTATGTGGAAGTGTATTTTTACATATTTTGTGTTATGTAATTAAACTTCAATCATATTTATACAACTTGTGCATTGCTACAATACAACATGTGCATTCCTACACACATTTGCATCACTACAATACAACGTGTGCTTTCCTACACACCTGTGCATTCCTTCAATAAAAAAAATCATAACGTATGCATAACGTGTGCATTACTATGTATAATCGAAAAGAGGTGGCACAATATCATTCCACAAATTGAAATTGTCCACCAATTCACAAAATGTGTGCTACCCTTAACATAATTCAAAACATGTAGCACAACGCAATGCAACAAAAGAAGTTATGTCATCCAAAACATAGTTCAGAAACAAGCACTGCAATGCAGAATTCTTGTCATTACTACAACTTCACATTTGTCTCTGTAGAAAGGACCGTACTGAGCTTCTCCACGCTCATGAACCGCTGCCCTTGATCCATAGCTTGCCCAACTTGCGATCGAGTTGATGGCCGTCTTGTAAACATTGGTTGTTTACCATATTTTGGGACCCTATCCACACGTGGTGGTAGTGGTTCTGGTGCTGAGACAGTTGGGAGGATGCGCGTTGCTCCCTTGTCGTGCAGTTGCTCCCACATAGATGGTCCCTACACAATCATTGGCTAATTAGTAATGTTAGAGTGTAAAAAATCATTAATAAATGTATATACCTGCTGGCTTTAAGTCCCTGTTGCAGCCTCCAAGGCTTTTTCCTTTCGTGGCCTGCCTCGACGTTTTAGTTGAGTCGTAATCATGGATTCTTGTATGGGAATTACCTCAGGTTGACTAACTGGAACAGTGGTGCTTGATCTGGCGGCATTCTTTGCTGGAGCTTTTTGAATTCGCGTCTACGAATAATGCAATATAGATTCCAACTTAATTTGTAAGAGAAATGATATATATTATGTATTGTGTTAGGTTGTACTTACAGACATCCGTCGTGGCCTATGTTGTACCGATGTTGTCGTAGGGTCTTGTCCAGCCACCTATATGTACAAAGAAGAGTCAATGCATGATTGTATATCACAAATATAATACAATAACTACACACTGCTATAGTTCATACCAGTGGTGATGATTCTTCAAGCCGACGGTTTTCAACTGACTGTGGACATTTTCTAACATTGTGTCCAGAGTTTCCACAAACTGACGGTTTTCAACTAACGGTTTGCATGTGTCTTTTTATCTGGAGAATATACCAAGATATCATCGATAAAATATTACCACAAACTGATCGAGGTATGGTTGAAAAATTCGATTCATCAATTCCATAAACGTAGCCAGGGCGTTGGTCAAGCCAAAGGACATAACAGTAAATTCATAATGACCGTATCTAGTGCGAAAAGTTGTCTTAGGAATATCATGCTCTGCAACCCTTAGTTGATAATATCCAGACCTCAAGTCAATCTTGGAGAATATACTTGCACCTCTCAGTTGATCAAATAGATCATCAATTCTCGGAAGAGAATATTTGTTCTTTACCGTTACTTTATTCAGCCCACGGTAGTCAATACACAACCTCAAGCTTCCATCTTTCTTTTTCACAAATAAAACTAGAGCACCCCAAGGCGACGTACTAGGACGAATGTAACCTTTATCCAGTAAATCCTGTAATTGCAATTTAAGTTCAGTGAGTTCTAACGGTGCCATGCGATACGGAGCTCTCAATACTGGTTCGGCGCCTGACACAATATCAATAGTAAAATCCACCTCACGAGCTGGTGGCATACCCCAAGAATATCATCAGGAAATACATCAGGAAAATCTCGAACCATAGGAATATTTTGCAATCGTTGCTCCCCTTGCTTCAAATCTCTTACCTCACACAGATATACTAGATACCCCTTACGAATAAGTGCTTGAAATGATAGGGACGATATTACCTTCATAGAAGGTTGTCTTGCAAATCCTGCATAGCTCACTTGTTCACCCATCGCTCCAACCAACGAAATTGATCTTTTTCGACAATCAAATTGAGCTTGATATGCCATTAACCAATCCATCCCCAGTATCACATCGAACTCGGATAACTTCATACTCAACAAGTTAGTAGCAAAATCAACTCCCCCAAAACTAACCGGAATTTGCATATAGAGTTCTCGGCACTCCAGTACTTCTCATGATGGAAGTAAACTTCCACTACCACTTCTACCGATGAATTCAGACCCAATCTCTTAACCAAACGTTTAGATATAAATGAGAATGTTGCACCCGAATCAAATAACACAAGAGCTGACAAACCGCAAATAAGAAATCTACCTGTTAGAACCTCACCTGGGTGATGATCAGCCTCTGTTTGGGTAACAACATTTATTCTGCCACGCTGGTCAGGTTCTCTGCCTAGCTGCCTAGATGATGGACGTGATTGGCTTCGACCACCTCGCCATGATGGTCCTAATCCTCTCCCCTGTGACTGTGAAGATGGCTGCTGCCATGGCCTAAATCTTTGTTCTGGAAACTCCCTTGCAGTTACCACACTTGGGCATAGCCTGGAAATATGACCACTACCACCACACTTAAAACATGTTAATGGAACTTTATCACAACGGGTACCTGAATGACTTATTCCACAATGTCGACAAACAACCCCCGATTGTTGTAACCTCTCTTGACTCAGTTCTTTAATCGAAATCCTCTTATACGATGGCCCAGACCTGAATATTTGCCACCATTTATTTTTACCCTTTAGTTTGTCCTCCACCTTAGCTTTTCATTTATCTCGAAACTGATGTTGATACCCCATTTCCTTCTCACTGTTCTTCTGCCTGACTTCCTGCTTCTGATAGAATCGAGCAGCACGCTCGTAAGCCTCATACAACGAACTGATATCCAGCACAGCTAAAGCTTCTTGAATCCTCTTCTGCAACCCATCTACAAAATGATCAACTCTATCTCGCTCACAGGAAAAATAGTCAAGAACAAACATCTCCAGCTCATTGAACTTTACAAAATAGTCCTCGACTGACATCGCACCCTACTTCAAGTCCAGCAGCTCTTGCTTCTTTGCTTTTCGAACATGAGACGGTATAAAACTAGCTTTTAATTTTGCTTTAAACTCATCCCAAGTCATATCCACTTGGTCCACTCCTGCAGCTTCCTCACCTAACTACCACTGATTTGCTCGACCTTCCAAGAAATAAGCCCCGATATTGGCTCGTTGATCTGGTGGAACTTGAACAACACGAAATATCTTTTCCATCTTTTCAACCCATAACTCAAGAACTCCAGGCTCTACAGAACCAGAATATGTTAGTGGGTTATGCCGCATCACAGCATCAATAAAACTCCTCTGTAGAGGCATCATCGCAGTTTATGGCTACCAAAATAAATCTTGACTAGGTGGCTCTATTGGTACATACTCTAGCACAAAATATTATGACTTATCAAATGAAGGATCTAGCTCTGGGCCTCGAATAGCCCTACGTAAACCATGACCTCGAGAATTTGACATACTGCCCCCCGACTTCCCTGATTCAATATCAACTCAGCAACACAACTAAACCAGATATAACATTAAAGCATAAGCCACATTAACATGAATGCACCCACAAAACCATAATCTCGCCAAACCAATTCAATATCATCATTATTTTCAAAACCTTTTTAATCCAAAGAGCCAAAATCTACCAAACCTACGCTCTGTTACCAACTTGTAACACCCCCAGTTGGCTCATACTGGAAATGCTACTACCACACTGCATCATGAGGTCGTCATCTCCTACTTCGGGCCCCACAATACAGTGTTAAGACTAAAATTAACCATAAAAGCGCATTATTATATAACAGAATCTGATTTATACATATTTACAAAACACACCCCTTAACAAGAGGTTTTTCCGGTTAAAAATTTACATATAATACAATAGACGTAAGTTCACTCACTCAGCCCGTCTTTCTATATCCCGAGACATCCCCTGTCTCGGATGTGCCATGCATACCTGAAACAAATATTTTCTTAAAAGCAGTCTAGAATTAAATCCATTTTAAGAACTATGTGAAATATGTCATTTCATACATTTTTAAAATAAATTTTAATTCCCGTTAATCATAAAATACGTGTCATGTCATGCCAATAGTGAAATGATGCAATACAGATATGAAACTCGACAACAATGCACATGCACATATATATATACATCCGCCGAAGTGAGCAGCCGGAATAACCTCGCCTCTATAATCATAAGCTCACTACATCTGTCTAAATGAGCAGCCGGAATACCCTCGGCCCCGTAATAACAAGCTCACTAGACCATCATCAATAAATAGCCGGAAAATCCTCGGCTCAAAGAAGGACCTGATAAACCTATAATAATATAACGGTCATCCGGTCACTTCCATATACCCACCATACGACTCCCACAATCAATACATGGATAGCCGAACGTTGTCGCCATTAACCACAAGACGCCCCATAGTCTGTGATAGCGAAGATAGGACCCCCACTGACTAGCCCTATCCCGTGTAATGTAGTAGAATCCGTGCAACCTGGAATCACCCATGGGAAATCCGGAAACTCTACTCCTCCTCGCGCACCCTAACGGGATCACGTTTGGAGTTTGGCATATGATCCTAAACTACCGGTAGACCTCACCGGGTGCAAATCTAATGAGTGGAACAACACCGAACACAAATGATTAGACCAAATACGTCTCAACTACAATGGGTCTAATCCCTGAATGACCGTGCGACTAAGTCACCCAGTTGTCCGACTACTATCGTCCACTATCGCCAAAGTGTTACGGTACATCGGGGTCGAATATCCTAACCCCAAATGATGCCCTCGCCTAGCACTACCGCACACGGCGACTAAACGATAGATCCATAAAACATATCCGATAAACCGTGCAATATGTGTGCAACATGCCAAATAAGTGAATTTACCGAAAAGGGCTGGTGAGACAGCTCATCTATCCTCCTTTTCATAAATTCACCAATGCGATCAAATACGTATATCAAATATCATAAACCGTGAAGTCTCCCACATGCATACGCACACATATATATAAATATATACATGCACTGACAAAATGATTCACATAATATCACTTTAACATATTAATCAGAATCGCATGCAACATGCATACCTAATTTCTTAAAATTAGATTTAATTCCCTACTGCTTACCTTTTATCGACACTCCCTAGCTTTCGCAATCTCACCCAAATCTCTTCCAACGTACACCTGCCCCATTATTTACTCAAATCAGCTGAGCTATATGCTTATACATAGGAGCTACCTGCTTATTCAAAAGCTAATTTCTATAGTTAGCTCGTTGGGTTTCAAATTTTTATATTTAGTAGACTACGATATTCTAGCTATAAAACTCTTATACCTCATAATATTTATATCGCCCGATTATTAAATAAAAATACTTAAAGATATGAATAAACAGGCAAGTGCAGTGCACTTTCCGTTTTCGATTCGGTTCGGATCGATACGAAATTCTCATAGTATAATGCTAGGACTACAAATAGGCTATTAGCTAAAGAAATTCGCCGATTAAATAAACAAATAGCCAGTTATGAATTTTTAAAGAATTTCTAATTTAATATTCCCAATATCGAAATTCATATTAAAATTCATAATTAAATTCTACGTATAAAAAGGAATACAATATCAATGTCGAAATTGAAATCAAACGGCTAAATTCTTTTCCTTTTCTTTTTGCTCTTTCTCCTTTCTTTTCTTTCTCCCTGGCGTTCCTTGCTTCTGCATTGCTTTGGTTGTAAGGTAAGGGTTTGTTCATTTCTTTATTTACTATATATATATTTATATTATATTATATTATTATTATTAAACGTTATCATCTTATATATATATACTTATATTTATATATTATTAATATCCACATTATCATCACCTTATTATTATTATTATTATTATTATTATTATATTATATATATTTTTATATTTATTTTTATCGATATTTATCCGTTTAATCGTCTCTATAATTATAACTAATATACAAAATAGGATTAAAATTTATTCCAAAATATTAATTTCTTGATTCCAAAATAATATAAAAATATTTATTTGCTATAATAATACTATTTTATACACTCCAAAATCGGGGTATTACAATTAAAGCTTTCACATACATTGTTTAACAACATGTCACACTTTGAATAAACTTTGAAGTGACTCCGACTCCACTGCGCTACAGGCTTATCGTCGAACCATTTGTGTGCCTCACTGTCAAGATCTTTCAACTCATCCATTCGACGACGAAATTCCCCCGGCGTAGAAGCCAAAGTAGCACGCCAAATTGCATTTTTCAGTGCAGTTCCTCTAAAACCGGCATTAACAAAGTTGTTATCCATGTGTCTAACACAAAATCTGTGATCATATCCTAGGAATACACCATCGAAGGCCTGTATCAGCCCTTTTTGCTTATCAGACATGAATGTAACCTGTTTGTCACCCCCAATCCTTAAATCTTTCTTCAACAAAGTCAAGAACCATCTCCATGTTTCACCATTCTCTCTACTAACCACTGCAAAGGCAATTGGGAACAGATTATTATTCGGATCAATTCCAACAGCGGTAAGTAAGACACCAGCGTAAATACCCTTCAAGTGGCATCCATCCACACCAATTATGGGTCTACAACCAACACTAAATCCTTCTTTTAAAGCTCCATACCACACATAAATACGGTTAAAAACAGATTCTCCATCATCAGTCTCAACACCTAACACAACTATGGTCCCTGGATTACTCTTTCTTAACTCATGTGTGTAATCCCAAAGACGACTGTATTGGTAAACAGAATCTTCACTTATCCTTTCCAAAGCACGCCTCTTTGCCCTATAGGCCTGATCTTTTGACACACTCACGTTTAATTCTCTCATTATCTCCTTCCTAAAACCTTGTACCTCGCGTTTCGGATCACATTTAAATTTATGAGCAAACTTTTCACTCAACCAAGAAGTCTTAACATTCGCAACAATAAAAGAAGGAAGACATGACTGCGAATGCTTAGGATGCAATAGATTTACTTGGAAAGCCGTGTCATCCTTCACCTTCACTGCGTTGCTTTTCCACTCACAATTTGGTTCTTTTTCTTTACACCTCGCATACCGGCGCTTGTCAATCTTTGTAAAAGCCACACTTCTTCTTTCTGAAATTGCATAAGATTGTATTGCTCTTTTAACCTCGTCCCTCGTTGCAAATATCATCCCTATTTCAAACCTCGGTGCATACACATCGAGTGGATTGAACTTTGGAAAAGTCGTGCTCACGCCCCGCCTACGCACAGTCCCCTCATCCTCTGAGTCAAATAACTCCTCCCACTCCTCATCACTTCCAACTATCAGATTCTCCTCCGTTGTATCCTCTTCATCATTCTCAGTCCCTAATCCTTCATTCCCAACGTCAAATTCACAAGTGTTTTGCTGCCGTTCCCTCCTACACTAACCCCACAATCCGCTACCTCTTCAGCAACTACTTCATTAGCCATATCTTGGTCTATATAGTAATCATCTAAACCTAAAAAATCATCTCCTTCACCCTCATCATCACAGTCCATATCCACAAACTCTTCAAATAAGTCATCGTCACTACCATGACTTCCACTACCCACTGTAAAGTCACTATCCTTCCCATCATCATCTAAATTGGGGAATTCATCTCCTTCACCCTCAATAGTCATCCCTCTTAAATTGCCAAGCTCGCCTTCTCCCAACACTGTCTCCCCAACTCCAGGAACAGATTTATCCCCAAGATCATCACAGTCCATATCCACAAACTCCTCAAATATGTCATCATCACTACCGTTACTTCCACTGCCCACTGTAAAGTCACTATCCTTCCCATCATCATCTAACCTGGGGAATTCATCTCCTTCAACCCTTAATAGTCATCCCTCCCAAATTTCCAAGCTCACCCTCTCGCAACACTGTCTCCCCAACTCAAGGAACAGATTCATCCCCAAGATCATCACAGTCCATATCCACAAACTCCTCAAATATGTCATCATCACTACCGTTACTTTCACTACCCATTGTAAAGTCACTATCCTCACCATCTTCATCATCATCAAGACCAATCCCATTACCTACAAGATCTACGTAAATATCTAATTTTCTGCTAATTAAGGATTCATAAGCTGCATCTTGGAACTCCTCATCATTCTCTAATAGCTTTAAATTGTTATCAATTAGAGTGTAATACTTACTATACTCCGAAACGTTAATACCAGTATTTCTCCCAAACAACTCCGTCAAGTCCTTAGTAAGTGTTCCAGCTAGCACGAAATCAAAATTCTTGATGGATCCCCCAACGTACTTTGCTATTGGAGTGTGGTACAAGACTCTATCGAAATGTAAGCACATTGTCAAATGTGTGCTTTCGGGTTCTACATAATACAAAAATCAGCTTGAAACTTTCATATGACAATGGAGTGGGGGACCAAATTTGTATCAAATCGACGGAATCAAGGAATGGGGGACCAAAATAGAGCAATAAAATATTTCTAATATAGGACCATGGTTTGAATCGGAACATTTGGAGTTTTCCGACAACGGTACTCCACAAGAAGAATATTATATGACATTAAAGCGAAAAATACTTACCATATAAAGGATGTGTCCGAAAGTCGATTCTTTTTCTCTCGATCTTGCCTTTGCCCTTATCCTCGTCGTTACTCATATCATCAAGAACAAAAAAAAAAGCACAGGAATGAAGCTACGTTTGTTCCTCCGACAACAAAAGTCTCGAAGTCAGACCTTCTTTGGAAGATTGGCAAGCGAGATAAACTCCCCAGATGAATGCAATCGATTTTGGATGAACTTCCTCCACCTGAATGCGATCGATTTTCAGAAGTCCACCATCAATGAGTTAGGTAGGGGTTTTGTGGTGAGTTTGCAATTTGATCCTGTGTGAAGTTGCAATTTAATCCCTGGGTTAAATTGCAATTTCACACGGGGATCAAATTGCAATTTAATTTTTATATATATATAATTTAATATCTTAATATAATCACTCAATCAAACAATGCCGCGTGGATTTCGTACACGAGAGCGCGTAGTTTAACTGCCATGACAATGACGCGCGACGGGAGGACGTAAATGGCGAGTTTTGTAAAGGTGCGGGATATATTTTGCCAGAATGATAGATTGAGGACAAAAGTGATAATCGGGTATAGGTGCGGGATATTTATTGCAATTTACCCTAAAAAATTATGTATATATATTCCTTGGATTCTAATAGTTTTAGAAGTTTTTCGATTTATTAATGAAAAAGTATGAAATTATGCAATATATTATGAATTTTTTAAATAGTAATGTCTCAATAATTTTTTAAAATTTTTCAAAATTTACAATATTCATATGTTGAATATGTAATATAAACACGATGTTTATTACTTATACATATGTTGTTAAAAGAATTAACATATGATGCAATATATAATTATTTCAACAATTACTTTTGAAAAATAAAAATTATCAAAATTAAAAATATATATATATATAATTTTTATTCACAACGTATTCGACTTCACTAGATTTTTCTTTATTTTAATCCAATTATATATATATCTTTTTTTTTTTATTTCCTTCGAATGAGATCAATAAAATTTATAAAAATTTTATTTTGGTGTGAAATGATTTTTCATTAGGTAAAAGATGATATATATTCATATATTCTTTATTTGTATTCTTTAATTTATGGTAATTAATTATAGGATTAAAATTTTAATTAAGATGCAAATTAATTAATATTTGTCCACAAATATGATCTCTACTGTTGATCTCTATTGAAATCAAAAGACCATGATACATTCAGCAGCAGCCCAACTTCAACAAGGAGTCAAACCCTTCTAAATCAATCCGTGAGACATCCTCGTTTGAAAGTTGGGTCTTAGGTTTAATTCTGGGTGCAGGGCCGTTCTTGAGCCCGAGCGAAATTGGCGTCCGCCCAGGGTTCAATCTAAATGGGGGCCTATTATTTATGTTATATATAAAATATTTATATATATAAATTATTTGATATTAATTAATATATTAATAGAAGATTATGATTTGGTGGTAAAGTTCTATCTAAATAAAGTTAATATTAATAGTTTAATTGATATTTTGCATATAAAAATATTAGGAAATTTTTTTATTTAATTATTTATATTTTATTATAGATTAAAAAAAATTATTTATAAATATTTAGGGCCCTAATTTTTATTTTAAAATTATTAATATTAATATTATTATTGATATTTTATCTAAAAATTCTAAAATAAATTATTTTTATTTAATAATTTATATTCTATTATAGGTGAAAAAAATCAAAGTAGATCATTTATATATATTTAGGGGTCTTTTATTTTTGTTTTAATTATCTTTTTTCACTAAAAAAATAATAAATATTAGAAAAAATTATTATTATTATTATTATTATGCAAAATTATCAATAACTCCTTTATGATTTCAAAACTGAGTGTAAATTCTCTGTATACTTTAAAAATAGTTGAACCTCCTTATACTTAAAAAAAAAGTTCCTAAAAATTCATTTTTATATTTTTTTGTGATGAGAATATGACTTTTCATCTATATTTTTATGCATGGCGGTGATTTCATACAACGTTTGTTAAAATATAAGAGAGCGTTACGCAATTTGTAAAGTATATGAAAATTTTATGCTAAGTTTCGAAACTAAATTTATGCTAAAAAATATTTTTTTATTTATATTTTATTATAAGTAAAAAATATTATATATATATATATTTAAGGGCCCTGACTTTTATTTCGCCCCAGACCCTTCAAAAGTCATGAACGGCCCTGCCTGAGTGGGTACATGTGTCCATGTGTTGGATAAAATTTTTGCCGGGGTATGCGTGTGTGGGTAAAAACAAAAACAATTAATTGAACTAATACACGACTAACAATATCATGTGTGTTCACCTAATTATTTTTAACCGATAAAATTATCAATAATGATTATTATTAAAAATGTATAATATATCCATAATTATACCCAATATAATATATATTCTCGACTTTAAAAAAAATTAATAATTCAACACAATATTCTTTTATATATTACTGACATAATTTTTTATACTTAATATAAAAAAATTCATCAAATCAATAATATAAAAGAAACACACTATAAAATTCTCATTAAAAACATACTCCCTCAGTCTCATTTAATTTGTCCATTCTTTTCATTTGTCCATTCTTTTCATATCCATCCCACATAAATCATTTTTTTCCTTTTAGGAAAATATAATTATATATTTTAATTTAATTTTAAAATTCATAATTTATAATTTGTATATTTAAATTAAACTATTTAGTCATCTTAATCTTAATATATAATTATTTTTATTATATCATAATGGAGATGGTTACGGTGTTGATCATGCTGATTTTTCACATAAACATACCTCATATATGCAAACAACATACATTAGTATTACACACACAACACATGCTATATATAATAAAGGTATATGTTGTTTTTTAATAATAATACGTGTGTTATATACAAGTTTGTCATGTACTAAAATCAACTGTCGTGTGTACTGTATGAGACTATAGCATGTTATGATAGTTCATGTGTTGTATTTGTATTATATTAACATATAGAATTGTGTGTTGTGTTGTCTACAGTAATATTGTGTGATGTCTGTAGTTATATTGTATGATGTTGAGACTATAGCATATGTGTGTATTTGTGTGTTGTTTGTAGTAATATTATGTATTGTCTAACAACACACGATGTGTTGTTTAGTACAGTGCTGAATTTAATTCAGCATTGTAGCCGCCGCCTATCATAATTATTTTTACTAATATATTTTTTAATTATTTACTAATTACATAATACATAAAATTCGGTACCCCAACTAAAGTGAACAAATTAGCCAGGAGGAAGTATGTTTTTTAAGTTTATTTTTATTTCAAAAATATTACATAAAAATTCTAAATTTTATTCAATATATAACATAAAAAAATGTTGGAAGTTCTGTTTGCGGATATATAATTAATAATTGTATTTTTGTAATAATTTGAGCTTTTAGGTGAGACGATTATTTTTTATCCGACATAGTATCAGAATCAATGATAGATATTGAGTTCGAGTTCTAGGATATATAATTAATAGCCCGAACTTTTATGGAAGACGGTCACAGTCATTATTTTAATTTAAATAAAATTTTAATAGCACATTATGTGAAATTAAATATATATATATATATATTTGTTAAAAACATTACAAATTAAACAATGGTAATCTTGAAAACCAAACATACATTTTATTTTTATATTACATCGAAATTCTTTGTTATTCAAAATAGTATATTAAATACCTATTTATATTTTATCAAATAACTGTTTAATTTAAATTTTTATTATTTTCAACATCAAACAAAATTCTGAAAATTACATCCAATTACTTTGAAAAATACGTCAAAAATATAATTTAAAAGGAAGCTAAATATGTTCATACAACATAATCCACCGACAATGTGTGCTCCACTTTCATTATCTGTAAGAGTATCACAATCAAATTTATGTTGTCTCGTAAATAGTTGGTAGTTTTTTTTTTTTTTTTTCAAGTAAATCATTCGTTATGTATAATAATATTATATATTCAATAAATTTATATTTTTTCATTCAAAATATTTATATTATATTCCTCACTTTAATTAAGTTTTTTCAAATTACAAATATAAATGAAACATAAAAATACAAATCGTTTGTAGAAAATTTGAATTATTTCGTGTGTTTATTTAGTATTTTTTTT